AATAAGAGTTAGCAGTTAGCACTCTCTGTCGCAGCGGCAGCGGCAGTTTCAGTCGTAGTAGTCGTCGTCGTGCTGGTGGTGGTGGTGGTGGTGGTAGTAGTAGTAGTGGTAGTGGTAGTGGTAGTGGTCGTCGTAGTAGTAGTAGTAGTAGTAGTAGTAGTAGTAGTGGTAGTAGTGGTAGTAGTAGTAGTAGTAGTAGGAGTAGTGGGAGGAGTAGGAGTAGGAGCAGGAGCAGGAGAAGGAGCAGGAGCAGGCAGCAGCAGCAGCAGCAGCACCAGCAGCAGCGACCTCTCCGGATGGGGATAATGACGAACATGGCACCCCAAGCACACCAAACGTTCTTCTGCTGCCAGTCTGGCTTGCACTTACAGTACGCGGGTCAGGCATGGCCCAGAAAGCGGACGCTCCAGCCCCATCGTGTTGATGACGCTGATTGTTGTTCCCTGTGTGTTCTTGGTGAGTTTTGCCTGCGTACATTCAACTCCTTCCCCCCCGGTGTTCACATTCAGAGGTGCGTTTTCCTCCATACTGTTCCCGTGTTCCCTGTTCGCCTAAAGGTCTAAGATACAGGTCGTTGGTGGGGGTGAGTTGCAGTAGTAGCGGCAGGAGCAATTAATAGAAGTAGTAGGAGGAGTAGTAGTAGTAGTAGCAGCAGCAGCAGTAGCAGCAGCAGCAGCAGCCGTGCCAGTGGCAGTGAGAGAAGCAGCAGCAGCAGGAGTAAAAGTAGTAGTAGTAGTAGTAGTAGTAGTAGTAGTAGTACTAGTAGTAGTAGTAGTAGTAGTAGTAGGAGTAATTGGGCCAGCAGTAGCTGCAGAGGCAACAGCGCGAGCAGAAGTAGATCGCTTCAGTCGCACCACCCTGTTGAAATCGTGCACTGCTACGACTGCCGTCGATAGAGGGTAGTGTTGCCAGCACGAGTCTCACGAGCAAGAACATGAGTACTAATACGGTACCAGCAGTGTTGGAGAAAGTCGTAGTAGTAGCACCTAGGCGGCGCGGAAGGGGTCAAGGGAGAAGGAGAAGGACATTCTTTTGAGGTTCACATCAACGAAAGGGAGCAAAAGCGCAATAGCATGAAAGTCAGGTCTTAAAACCGCAAAGCAGTGGGATTTTCACAGATGCATGTTCGGCTGAAGGACATCCTGCTGCCTATGCTCACAGCTGAAACGCCTGCCGACATCAAACAGCTTGTCGCTGCTACTCAGAGAGTCCGAGCCATTCTGTCGACCATGAAAGCAGATCCTCGGACAAATATAGGGGCCATAGCAACTGGAATATGGTTTTGGCGGCCATTCTACTGCACATATAATAAGGAAACCCCAAAATAATATTGGTAACAATTTAGGCCCCTATTTTACCTTGAAATTGATTTGCGAGGTGTCTGGCAGTTTCAGGAAGCTTCTGGGTTCGGGTTCGTGGACGGCACGAAGTCAGTGAGCTTTCACGTGCTCTGTAATCTGTACTACATATGTATAACATACTTGCATAATTACCTACCTACCGACCTACCTACCTACCTACCTACCTACCTACCTATCTAGCTAGCACCCAGCTAGCTAGCTAGCTACCTACCTACCTACCTAGCTAGCTAGCTAGCTAGCTAACTAGCTAGCTAGCTAGCTAGCTAGCTAGCTAGCTAGCTAGGTAGGTAGGTAGGTGGGTGGGTGGGTGGGTGGGTGGGTGGGTGGGTGGGTAGGTAGACAGAGAAAAGCAGCT